CCCCCCCCCCCCTTGGTAGTAGATTTGTTGGGTATTTTTTTTTTATCTTTTTAATTTATGTGGAAGATAGAATTGTTGTCTGTGTTTAGTTTATAAAATTTGCAGGTTTCCAATTTTTATTTTACTTTCAGGGCTTTAACTAGACGATTCAATATCCCCATGTTGAAAATGGACATAAAAGACGTTCATTGGGAAGCAAGAGGAGTCTTTGTGTCTAGTACCCAGGCCCTCAAAGAGCAAGCTTTCCCGACTCTGCTGTCAGGCCCTTTTGCAAACATGACGTTGTCCGAAATGATGAAATATGCTTGGATGAACATTACTAGAGAGAAAACACTTGAATTTCCGTCTTACCGAGATTTTGTGTGCCACCAACTTGGTAGTGAAGGCTGCGAGTTCTACATGGCCAGATACGCTATTAAAAGAAATTACGGTGAGGAGAGCTTTTTAGGCGTATACGAGCGGAGTGAGGCTTCCAGCAATTCTTCGTATGATTACTATCGGCCGCCTGGTGGCCTATCAGATATCGTCAGTGCATTGGAAAGATCTGCGAAGCGTTTGGGAGTAAAGATGTACGCTAGGGAAAATGTCAAAGCAATCCATAGGAAAGGAAACATTTTTACAGTCGATACAGATAATTTTACAGTGTCGGCTAGAAAGCTCATCATTGCCGTGCCACGCACTCCATTTGAAGAGATATCTGGGGACGTGGCTGCGGATATTAAAAGAAATGTCTTCTTTGAAGCAAATTTAGCGGATTCTTCCTTTAAAGCTGTGGCGGTTTACAGTTATCCTTGGTGGGAAAACATTACTTCGCTTCACAACCTGACACTGAAGCCGCTTGAAAGATTCTTTTCAGGAGCTTCTTGTTTAGTTTCTATTATGCCTTACAGGTAAGCTACCAAAAAAGACATTATATGATTATCCCTACTCATAATCCATCAAATATTTTCGGTCGAACACGATTGCATAATCAACACAATAGCTCCCATTTATCTTTAAAAATATGCTCGGATACTTGTCCTTTGACACACTGTTCACTTCTCGGAACAGATAATGTCCGCGGATAAGTATCTGAGCATATTTTCGCGCCAAATAGAGGCTATTTTTTATCTATACCGAAGTGGCGGAATTCGAAAGTGCCCACCCTAAACGTGAAGAACATTTTTTTTCAAGATTTAGACAAAAAAGCTGTCATACACCTGGCCCAGGAGTATGGCAATTGGTTATGACATGTGGTTGTGCTCGAGACATGATTTTTCCATGGCAGCTGTGTTGTGAGAAACATTTCGATCTTGTTTTTATTAATAATTTTCTACTTTGATGCAGTTATGACTTCTTAGCTTTGTTTTATTGCTGGTTGACATTGCCACACCATCAAAACTATAAATCGTAACCATTCAATAAATCAACTCAAGAATCTGGGATATGATAGATGATTGTTATATAAACAACCTCGCCAAGATTGGGGTCTGTGCGGTTTTTCATTTGCGTGTTATTTGGAGAAGTGTTTCACCCAAATTTATACAGCTTTGTATGGAGACGCCATGTTAGTGCCCCTCGGAGGGACACAAACATGGCAGCTGTTAAGCAACAGAAACATCTGTCATTGAGTTTTGCTATTCAAACGAAAAGTTATTCTCTAGAACTCCGACACATTGAAATTAATACTTCTTCTAGAGCAAGAACTGTTCAGTTAGCAAAAACTTACGTGATGACTCATCTTTTGACCCAAGCAAGAGCCCTCTCGGGCCCCCATTTGATGTCACACAACGCATAAACTTGGAAATCCAAACGCGCTCTGTTACAAACTGAACTTAAACGTTGTAAAATGCCAAGTTATTATAGAGTCTTACATTTGATGAAACTAAATTTTCAGTAGGACTAGTAATTTTCAATTTTGGAAAATGATGACGTCACACGAAAATCGGCAGTTGATTTTGATTAGTTTTCGATAACTCAAGAAATCCAAGATGGCGGATCCACGATGGCGGCTCTTTTGGATTTCATGACCTAATCACCACGTGATATGATATATCGAACATCTCATATCATTCCCGTTAAAGAAACCCGAAGTGGAATTCGTGAGTTGATGGATTGGAGTAGCGGAGGCGAGTGCTTATTTTTCCATGTGAACGCAATTTGTTGTGAGCTTTGTCAAATGGAAATATTTCAAATCTTTGCGTCTTGAATCTTAAAAAAATGAGCTAGGTTCCGTTAGGGAAGAAAGTTCTCGGTTTTTGACTTAACCTTATGTTCTAGTGTCTGTCAGTATAACAGGTCAGAAAATAGATAACTTCAATTTTTAAAATTTTCACTGCATAATGCAGTTCAAGAGTTTTCATTGGTTTAGCCATCATGGTACATGAGCCATTATACCATGGTCTACAAATATGGTAGAATACGCGCAAGCGTATTCTTTGGGGCGATTTTTTACTATTTATAGATAGCCAACGAGGCGCGAAGCGTGGAATAATAATTGACAAATATATGGTATTAACCCAGTAATGTTAAAAGATTCTGAAATGATCCTGGTTGTGTTGTGTGTTTCTATTAGAAATATTTTTTGATGTTTTCAACTGCGTTTGCTTTTAGTGGTAGAGGACCCAAAGGCGAAGCCGTTTTTCAGCTGTCATACGCTTGGACTGCATGCGCAGTCAAGTGGGGTGAACTTTCCAAGCTGCCTAAAGCAGTTCTGGAGTCGGAGCTAAAGAAAGCTATTCAGGAAGTGTTTCCAGGAGCAGTCTTACCAGAGCCTCTGGATATGGTGTTTAAATATTGGGAGAAAGTTGCTTGGTGAGATAACGTTTCCACATGACATCACGGCGGCCATGTCGGTATTTTGACACACGGAAGTCCGTCCGTTCGTAAATGAGGGTTGTTTACCATTTACCCCCAAATTCCGGTCAGAATGAAAATGGTAAGGCAATTTAATTTTGGCTCGACCGACCGGAAAATGTCCAAAATATACAGAACCTCTTGAAAGGTAGTCCAAAATTTCCAACCGAAATACCCGAGTAGAAAAAAAGGTGCTTACCATTTACAAAATTCCTTATCAGTTGCACTCGCCATCTTGGAATTATGATCAGGTCGAACTCGTCCTATTCTCCTCGGTAAATTTAGGTTTTGTGAGTAAAGGGCAAACGGCCAATCCGAACGGAACTTACTATCAGGGATGTTTGCTTACCATTTGCAAACCGTTGACGAACCGGTTTCTCCGTGTAAATGGTAAATAACAGAGTTCTATTCTTGGACGAAGTATTTCTCTTAATTGGGAATGCCAACATGGCTGCCATGAAAATGGCCTATTGATATAATTGTTCGCCCGAAAAGATTTATCCTTGATTAGTATATACCACACGAGTGAATAGTACTTTTCACATGTTCAGATTGGTTAACTCCAAGGTGATTGCCAAAGTACTATTCACCTCAAGCAGCCGAAGAGAAATTTCCAGCCATATGTCGACTTATAGTTCGCTATTCAAGATGGCTGACAACAATTGCAATCTACCACACGTGACCTATTAATTTGTCCACATCAACGCCACACATACAGCACTCGAGAGAGAGAAAAAAATAGTTATAATTATTTATTACACAGAGTATCCGGCTGGTCTTAAACTTTAGTTGTCTGCTTTCTTCCGTAATCATGTGATTAATTCACAATATTATATCTCTCAGTCTCTTTCAGTTACTACGCGCGCTGTGATTGGTCAATTTAGCGGGCCGTATTCTACTGTACTGCGTGCAAAAATTTATCGCCAAGTGTTCTTAACTTTTATAACAACTAAAAAGTTTAAAACTTTCTTTAAATTTAACTTGTGTATCAAAATATACTAACGACTTAATGACTTCAAATTGATTCGTTTTGCTTTCGACGTACGTCAGAAAGTTTAAGCTGTTCCGCGTGAATAGAAATCGTTCACACACCCGTCAGACTCACAGTAGAGATATAAATCGAAGAGGAAAAAAGCCGGTCCGTAACTTACAGTACGGACCTCAAATATCAACGACCTGCACTCATTTTCATGCACTACTTGTTCTATTCAACAGGCACGCCACAAAGGCGGGTTCCAACGTGAGCCGTTATGATTTAATGAAATGGGCCAAACGTCCATTTCCTGGTGAAGAAGTTTTTATAGTGGGTGAAGCATATTCAGTGTTAACCGGATGGAATGAAGGAGCCCTCCAGTCAGCTTACAACGCCCTAAAGGAAGGCTGGGAAATTACCCAACCAGAGGCTCATTAGATAGAACAGAGAACGTTCAACCTATGTAAACCGTTCTTCATGTAGGGGTACGGTAATGAAATGGGGACAATAGGCCATTTCCGAAAGGCCTTCAGAGGCAAAGGGCAACTCGAAAGTGGCCTAATTTGAATTCGAAAATTATTTCAAGCACACTTTGTAAAAATTCTAGTGATTTTGATTCTTTGGGGGTCAAATCCCAGTCGTGTATATTAACCGAAACTATTCACCATTCCTAATCGATTACCCTGGAGTGTTTAATCCTCTATCGGGTCTATCACGTCTGGATTGTTTGACCTAGCACCTTAAAAATCCCCGATCGAACCGTCATCACGAAAAACCTCTGCTGGACTCCTTAAAGTTGTAACTTCGGTTGATAAAAATCAAAGGCTCTTTAAGCCAACTCGTGAATACTGTTGACCAAGCAATTTCCAAACTCTGAGAATAAAGTTATCTACCTGTGGAGAATATCTATCACTAATTGAATGTTTAAAATAGTTTTCGATCTAAGTCATCTTACGTTTAACGACTTTTCTGAATTTACGAAACTCGAGCCAAAAAGAGCACACCATTCTTATAAGCTTTATGTTAAAGGCGGGAAGTCATGGAGAGACCCACCACTTATTGTTGTGGAAGCAGGAAATTTGCCTGCTTTCAAAAACAAACTCGCAGTTCACCTTGGTATTTAGATAATTTTAATCTTGCAAATGCCTTTGTACTATTTTTACAAACTTATTATTATATCGCTGTCGCTTCTCCGTCCGTTCATTCGAGTTTGTAATTTTAAGAGAGTTTTTACATCCTGTATAAACATTTATTGTATTAGCAGCAGTTGGTTTTTAAGAAGCGATACTTAGAAACATGCATTAGAACAAGAATGGGTAATGTTTGAGACGAACATGTTCTAATTGTGTACATGTGACAAGGGTGGTCAAAATTATTTCCTCCAATTGCTTTTTCATAGGTTTGTTTAGTTTTAACATTCTATATTTGAATAAAAAGTCATTTTTACTCCCTTGCAATATAAATACCAAGTGTGCCTTAGCAGTCTTCCAGGCGTTTAGTTAGTTGGGGTGCAGCGCGAAAAACGGCGAGCGAAAAAATAGGGAGATGCGCGGCGAGAGGAACCGAAAGAACGCCTGTGGGCAAACTTAACAAAAGGTCGTACCGGTGTATTAGAATCTGGTATACCTTCTGATTGGTCAATTTTGACAGGTTTTGTCAACACTCGTGCGTTACTAACGCAGATGGAAATGCGATATGGCGGCGGTCAGTGCAAAATGGCCGGGGTTGACGAGCCTACACGATTCCTACGGTTCGTGACATTTGTACATTTACCGTTCTCTTTTGGGTATCTCCACCTTCGTTTGCTTCTCACGTGTTTATGAAGTTCACTTTATGTTATGTTATTAGCCCGGCTGTTTTAATTAGAACTGCTTGCAAGTACAGTATGTTGCTTCTTACCACAGATATCATATTTATTTGCGTCCGATTTTTCTTCGGAGACTGCCGTAGCTTTTTTTCGAAAAAGAACGCCGTGATTTTTCAGTCGATTACTGTCAATCTCCTGAGTAGGTGTTAGCACGCTTCGCTAAAGGAGTACCTNTGTTTGAGACGAACATGTTCTAATTGTGTACATGTGACAAGGGTGGTCAAAATTATTTCCTCCAATTGCTTTTTCATAGGTTTGTTTAGTTTTAACATTCTATATTTGAATAAAAAGTCAATTTTACTCCCTTGCAATATAAATACCAAGTGTGCCTTAGCAGTCTTCCAGGCGTTTAGTTAGTTGGGACTCAGCGCGAAAAACGGCGAGCGAAAAAATAGGGAGATGCGCGGTCGTTCGGTGTATTAGGATCTGGTATATACCTTCTGATTGGTCAGTTTTGACAGGTTTTAGTCAACACTCGTGCGTTACTAACGCAGATGGAAATACGATATGGCGGCGGTCAGTGCAAAACGGCCGGGGTTGACGAACCTACACGATTCCTACGGTTCGTGACATTTGTACATTTACCGTTTTCTTTTGGGTATCTCCACCTTCGTTTGCTTCTCACGCGTTTATGAAGTTCACTTTATGTTATGTTATTAGCCCAGCTGTTTTATTAGAACTGTTTGCAAGCACAGTATGTTACTTCTCACCACGGATATCATATTTATTTGCGTCCGATTTTTCTTTGGAGACTGCCGTAGCTTTATTTCGAGAAAGAACGCCGTGATTTTTCAGTCGACTCCTGTCAATCTCCTGAGTAGGTGTTAGCACGCTTCGCTAAAGGAGTACCTCCAGTCGGCCATCTAGCGTTCGTTTGTCGTTTTGGAGCTTTCAGCGATTTTCTTTCTACAATCCCGGAGAATTATTTCTCAAGAAATCTGTTGGCAACTGTGCAACTGAAAACCACAAGCCGGCGGTCATGTTACGGGTCCCTGGACGCGGTCTATAAGTGGACGAAAGGACCTTTTGTTAATAAGTTTACCCCTGAGCGCTCTTTCTCCTTTCTCTCGCTGCGCTTTTCTCTTTTTTTCGCCAACCGTTTTTCGTGCTGTACCCCAACAAACTGAACGCCTGGAAGCGGCTAATTGTCTCTAAAATTTTTATTACTCTGGCTTCCATAGGAAAGCCCGAGTCTAAAATTACAAGCCGTTCTTCTTGGTGGGGGAGAAGAGGGGAGTTATGGTCCCAGGCTTTCCCAGCGGAGAGCGTGGAAACTGGGGATGAGAATAACCGTGTGCTCTTTCACTTCATAACAGACAGAATGTTATGTTTTCTGAAGAAATCTTCGGAAAAAATCATGCCTTATACGCTCATTTGACATTACGAGAGGTCGAGCGTTTTCGGAACGGGTCGTTCTATGAATTCTAGAGCTTGAAAGTTCGGCAAACTAGATAACCGGGAATCAGGAGTCTTCATAAACAGAACTTTGAAGGTGAGGCAAACAATATGCAATTGGATAAATAGGATACGCAACGAA